AGCCCAGCAGGTCGAGGGTGAGGGGCCGGGAGCGGCCACTGCACTCCAGTCTGGGCGACAGAGTGAGACTCCAACTCAAAAAAAAAAAAAGCCATAAGGAACCCTGCTATGAGATAGTGAGGACAGGCATTCAGCAGGTACTGGGGCATGTCTGCTCTATGGGATACCAGGAGGTAGGACAGGGTGCCTATCCTCTCTATGTGGGAGTTATTGGCTGGGTCTCCATCAGCAAAGCGAGCTAACACTGGGGCAGTGTGTCGCAAAGCTTTGTGTGCCATCACGGGGTGGCCCAGGGAACACCTGGGGCCTCTCTGCCCACCCGGGGGTGCTGAGGCAGAGCGGGTGGCCCTTGTCTCCCTTCTGGGGGTTTGAGGCAAGAGGCTGATCCCAGCCGGGTGTGGTCATCCCAGCACTTGGGGAGGGGGAGGCGAGAGGGTGGCCGGAGCCCAGGGGTTCGAGACCAGCCTGAGCAACACGGCGAGACCTCGTCTCTACAACCACATAGGCCGGCTCCAGCCTGGCTCCAGTCCGTAGTCCTCACCAATGACCACCAGCAGGATGCCGATGACCACCTGCAGGAGCAAGGAGATGCTGATGAGGGTGACCAGGGTGGTGTAGTAAGGAGCGGTCGGCCCCTGCTCCAGCACTGCCTTCAGCCGCGTGGCGTTGGACATGAACAGAGCCACGTCCAGCATGCTCTCCGCCACGCTCTTCTTAGTGGCGTAGTGGTTCAGGTTGATGGGCGGGCTCCTCCGGGGGTTGGAATTGCCAGGCTGGAAGGGAGAAAGCACGGGCTTACCTGGGGGCTCCGACTGGACTAGAGAACTCATGAGGTTGGGTGGAATTCCAGCACTTTGGGAACCCAAGGCAGGAGGATTGCTTGAGGCCAGGAGTTCAAGGCCATTCTGGGCAACTAGTGAGAAGCTATCTCAACAAGGGGAAAAGGAAGAAGAAAGAAGGAAGGGAAGGAGGGAGGAAGGAGAGAGAGAGAAAGAGAGAGGGAGAGAAAGAGGGAGGAAGGGAGGGGAAAGAGAAAACCAAACCAAACCCTTCTGGGCACAGTGGCTCACAACTGTAATCTCGACACTTTGGGAGGCCAAGATGGAAAGACTGTTTGAGGCCAGAAGTTCACAACCAGCCTGGGCAACATAGCGAGACCTTGTCTCCACCAAAAAATGTAAAAATATTAGCTGAGCCAGGCACGGTGGCTCATGCCTGTGATCTCAGCACTTTGGAAGGTGGAGACAAAAGGATTGCCTGAGTCCATGGGTTCGAGACCAGCCTGGGCAACATGGCAAGACCTCTACATTAAATCAGAAAGATTAGCTGGGCATGGTGGCACACACCAGTAGTTCCAGTTACTTGGAAGGCTGAAGCGGAAGGATCGCCTGAGTCCAAGAGGTCAAGGCTGCAGTGGCCATGAGCATGCCACTGCACTCTAATCTGGGTGACAGAGTGAGACTCTGACTCAAGAAAAATATATACTTATTAGCTGGGTATGGTGGCATGCACCTGTAGTCCCAGCTACTCAGTAGGCTGAGGTGGAAGGTTTGCCTGAGCCCAGGAGGTCAAGGGTGCATTGAGCTGTGATCATGCCACTGCACTCCAGCCTGGGTGACAGAGTGAGATGCTGACTCAAAAAAAGAAAATCCATAAGGACCTTCAGGCTCTGAAGTGCTGTTATGTTGTAACTGATGCCTCGTAGAGGGCCGCCCTTTCCCTCACCTTCATACATCCAGCTAAAAAAAGGGGGCAGGGTTCTCGGTTGCTGGGAAAATGCACCTTATTTTTTTTTTTTTTGAGTCGGAGTCTCACTTTGTTGCCCAGGCTGGAGTGCAGTGGTACACTCACCGCCACCGCAGCCTTGACCTTCTGGGTTCCAGCGATCCTTCCACCTCAGCCTTCCAAGTAACTGGAACTCCAGGTGCGTACCACCATGTCCAGCTAATTTTTTCATTTATTATAGAGACGAGGTCTCACCAAGTTGCCTGGGCTGCTCTCGAACCCCTGGGCTCCGGCCATCCTCTTACCTCGGCCTCCCAAAGTGCTGGGATGAGAGGCGTGAACCACCGCACCCAGCCCACCATTGTCATTTTATTCACTATTTTCCCTGGGCCAGGCCTCAGCTTTGGAATACTTTCTTTTCCTCTGAGAGGAAAGCTCCCAAGAAGACACTAGAAGGAGCTTTGAGGCTTGGCTGAAGTAGAGAAAAGCACGTCTCCCAGATTGGCAGTGCCCTGAGGCAGGGTGCACAGCTCAGCAGGTGAGTTGTGGGCTGCACTTAGATCCCACTCAGGCCCTTGGCCTGGCACCCAAGCTGTGGCCCTACCCAAGCACACATGCCCGCAGACATGACTGTCAGAACACAAGCATGTATGTATGCGTTCATGCGTACAGTATATGCACGCACAACGCACAGTCGTTAAAGCACTCTCTGTTTAATTTGGTTTTTAAAATTACTTTTGAGCTAGGATCTCTTGAAGGATAATGGGCATTGATTTTGAAGTATACAATAAAGCTCGTATTCTCAAGAAGCCACTGACTCCAAAAGATGGAATCACAATGCAGGGCACATGGAGAGGATGGGCCTGTGGGTTAGGCCAAGAAATTCAGGCTGGATCCTCAGGCAATCTGCAATCACTCAAGGGTTCTTGGGGGATTAATTTAGCAGGGGTGCTTGGGATGAATTGGGCCGGGGGGACCAGAAGCAGGGAGACCCTGTGAAAGGTTGACATCTTGATTTAGGGTCTGGTGAGGAGGAGCTGAAGTGGAGTGGTGGTGAGAAATGAGGGGAGGTCTTTGAAAGGTGCCACAGCCTGGAGGTAGGGAAGCTGATCCAGCAAGTCACCACAACAGGACAGATAGCCGTTGGGTGGGTGGGTGGGCGGATGATACGTGGTTGAATGGATTGATGGATGAATGGATGGATGGATGGATGGATGGATGGATGGTTGAGTGGGTGGGTGGATGGATGGATGGACGGATGGATGGATGGATGGATGGATGGTTGAGTGGATTGGTGGATGGATGGATGGACGGATGGATGGATGGTTGGGTGGGTGGATTGGTGGATGGATGGATGGATGGATGGATGGACGGACGGACGGACGGATGGATGGATGGTTGGGTGGGTGGATGGATGGATGGTTGGGTGGGTGGATTGGTGGATGGATGAATGGATGGATGGACGGACGGACGGATGGATGGATGGATGGTTGGGTGGGTGTATTGGTGGATGGATGGATGGATGGATGGATGGACGGACGGATGGATGGATGGTTGGGTGGGTGGATGGATGGATGGATGGTTGGATAGATGGTTGGATGGATGGTTGGGTGGGTGGTTGGGTGGGTGGTTGGATGGATGGATGGATGGTTGGATGGATGGTTGGGTGGGTGGATTGGTGGATGGATGGATGGATGGATGGTTGGATGGATGGTTGGGTGAGTGGATTGGTGGATGGATGGATGGATGGATGGTTGGATGGATGGTTGGGTGGGTGGATGGATGGATGGATGGATGGATGGATGGTTGGATGGATGGTTGGGTGGGTGGATGGATGGATGGTTGGGTGGGTGGATTGGTGGATGGATGGATGGATGGATGGATGGACGGACGGACGGACGGATGGATGGATGGATGGATGGACGGACGGATGGATGGATGGATGGATGGATGGACGGACGGACGGATGGATGGATGGATGGATGGACAGACGGATGGATGGATGGATGGATGGTTGGGTGGGTGGATTGGTGGATGGATGGATGGGTGGATGGTTGGATGGATGGTTGGGTGGGTGAATGGATGGATGGATGGATGGTTGGATGGACAGATGGATGGATGGACGGATGGACGGACGGATGGATGGACAGATGGATGGATGGACGGACGGACGGATGGATGGATGAATGGATGGATGGATGGATGGTTGGGTGGGTGGGTGGATGGATGGATGGATGGTTGGATGGATGGACGGACGGATGGATGGATGGATGGATGGACGGACGGATGGATGGATGGATGGATGGTTGGGTGGGTGGATTGGTGGATGGATGGATGGGTGGATGGTTGGATGGATGGTTGGGTGGGTGGGTGAATGGATGGATGGATGGATGGATGGATGGATGGATGGATGAAAAAATGAATGGTTGGATGAACTGGTGGATGGATGGACGGATCAATTGGTAGATGGATGACTGGCTGGATGGATGGATTGGTTGATAAGTGGATGGATGGTGGGACGAATGATTAGATTGGTGTGTGGGTGGGTGGAGGGATGGATGGGTCAGGGTATGAATGGAGAGATGAGGCAGGTCTCAGAGGGTCTGGATGTTTCTTGTACTCATTGTGACTCCCCACAAGTCATTTCACTTTTCTGTACCTCAGGTAATTACACAGAGGCCAGGAGAAAGGGGACAGAGGCCTATCTGATCACAGCCTTTGGATTTCAGGGTCTCTTAAGATGTCCTGAAATGCAGGGATCTCCAAATTTCTGAATAGTGTAATCCCAGCATCAAAAACTGTTTTTGACTAGGCATCCTGAATGCATGGACAGTCTTCCATTATGAATTACGGACCTATGTGATTGGACTAATACATATAATAAAACATTCTAAAATATGAAAATGTTTTGCAATTACATAAAAATAAATATAAGTGGAAGTTTAATGTTCTTATATCCCAAAAGATGGTCTTGAGCTTCCTTTTTGGGGACCCCAACTCTAGTCCACATACCTGGCTGCAGGCTGGACCACACCTCTCCCAGGCCAACAGAAGGCCTCTGGCCCCAGTTCTTCTCCTAAAATTTCCCCTCAAAACTCAGCCCAAGAAGCCAGGTGGGGTGGTTCACTCCCATAATCCCAGCACTCTAAGAGGCCAAAGTGGGAGGATTGCCTGAGCCTAGGAATCTGAGACCAGTCTGGGCAACATGGCAAGACCTCTTCTCTACAAAAAGATTTTTAAAAATTAGCTGAAGCCGGGCTCGGTGGCTCAGCCTGTAATCCCGCGCCTTTGGGAGGCTGAGGTGAGTGGATGGCCTGAGCCCGTGGGTTCGAGACCCGCCTGGGCAGCGAGACCTCATCTCTACAATAAATCAAAAAATCAGCCGAGCGTGGTAGCGCGTGCCTGTAATTCCAGTTACTCGGAAGGCTGAGGCGGAAGGATCGCCGGAGCCCAGCAGGTCGAGGCTGCGGTGGCCGGAAGCGGCCACTGCACTCCAGTCTGGGCGACAGAGTGAGACTCCAACTCAAAAACAAAAAAAAAATTAGCCGGACGTGGTTGCATGTGCATGTAGTTCTGGCTACTTGGAAGGATGAGGCAGAAGGAACACCTGAGCCCAGCAGATCAAGGCTGCGGTGGCCGTGAGCGTGCCATTGCCCTCCTGCCTGGGCAACAGAGTGAGACTCCAACTGAAAAAAAAAATCCATCTAAAAGCCCCTGTTCCACTTAGGAGGTGGGTTTCATAGTGAGCTTAGCCCCTCGTCCTCCCCTCTCTAAACATAGGGCCTGTTTTCTTTTTGTTGTTTTTTTTTTTTAATCAATTTTTTTTTTTTTTTTTT